TTCTTGTAATCCCAAAAACTCACGGATTTTGAAAATAATCTATAAAACAGGGTGTTTCATTTGAAAAATGGATTTATGATTTGTCCCTATTTCAGGTATCACCCTGTAAAACGTCTCGTAAGGACAAGGTAAATTTCTTCTGAATTTGATTCTCACTTGGAAATTTGCAAGTGCCTATTTGCCAATGTTGCCAGTTTTCAAATTTTTTCTAAAATATTCCATAATAATATTTCCAACTCCTTTCTTTGGGTGATCTGTATTTCAAAATCATCTTGATCCAGTGATGTAGGGCATTATCATCATGAAAATTCTACACCTCACATTTTTCACTATTCAAAAGCCTCTGTTCCGTATCGTTACTAAAGCAACTAAACAAATTTTCGGAAATTTGTTCCTCCTCGGAGGAAGGAGCGTGAAATTATACTGGTAATTTTTTAACGTTTATAGGTGAAATGACATTTGCATGTAACTGCAGATTACTTCGAATTAATTTTATGAGTTAATAAGTTCCTTGTAAAAAAATATATTTCTACCAACTTTCTTAGAATGAATTTGTGAAAAACGGAGTGAAAAACTGAGAAATTCGTTTCGGTGTTTTACCGAATGCCACTCTAGCTTCGATTATAAACCAGAATATTCTTCTTGAACACGAATATTTAGAAAATTCTCCCTCGTCTTCGACTCGTATTCGGGTTCTCTAACAAATTTCCGGTAAAAATTGAAGCTCTTGTGGTTTGATAATTGAAAATTCCCTTCGGAGTCCACATACGTTATTCTAAACATAAAAAATTGTCAAAAAACGAGTCGTGACGAATGAGAAATTTGAAAACAAAAAAAAAAGGTAATTGTCGGCCACAGCTCGCAGCATAGCAACGACAGGAAGTCAGAGGTGGTTCGCAAGGGAGAAACAACCCCCCTGCAGCCACCACCCCTCCCCACTCTCTCCTGGACCTGGCCCACGACGGATCAGAAGCCCTGACGGTGGGTCAATCAGCATCCATTTCATTTTTTCCTTCATTTTTTCTGTCACTTCTTTCTGTTTTTTTTTCTACTAGAAGGGTAGGTTGACCACGAATTAATGTTGTATCTACGTGATTACATCCCTGAGATGTCGCTGCGACGTCACAAATTAACCTGGTGTTCGAGATTATGAGATATTACTAGGTTGCGATATCATTGTTAAATCTCTGAGAAGTTGCTACGATGTTTCAAATTAATCTCGTTTTCGAGATATGAGATGTCAAATTAAAATTGTGATCCAATTATGAGATGTCAAGGTTGCGATATCCTTGTAACATCTCTGAGATGTCGCTGCATTGTCTCAAATAAACCTCGTGTTCGAGATATGAGATGTCACTAGGTTGCGAAATCATTCAATGTTGGTCGAACTGATGATTATTTGAATTATTTTTATTCACCAACCTTGGAAATCATTGTGACATGGCATTGAGAATCTTTGAGATGTGACATCTTTCATACATCACAACGTCGTTAGCTTGGTGATATCCCAGTGAACTTTTTCCAACATTTCGGAGCATTTGTTGTTTGAGAAACAGACATTGAATCAACTTTTGAATAGTCGTGAACACACAAAATCTCATCCACACAAGTTTCCTGATGATTACATCAATCATTTGAGGTACATGTTTTTCATACTTGTCCATCCTCAACCTGCTCTAAAAATCCTAACACCAACGAGAAAATAAGAAATATAGTAGAGGGTTTTTCACGATGACCGTTTATTAGACGTTGAGAAACGATATTTTGAACGTTGCGGCGTTGCCGCTTCTACTAGAAAGTAGCAACAACTTTGATTTTTCAAATAAAACACCCTGTATCTCATTGCATTCTTAGATTCTTCCTGAAAAGTTGTTTTCAACAATGTATACACTTGGTTGTAGCGGGATTTATTACAGAGATATAGGGTGATCAAAATCGAGATTTTTCAACTTTAGGAATGTTTTGTGTCGAAACTATTCATCAAGGTCTAAACGACTTTCATGTCTCTATCCCAACTTTTGATTTGTTATCTACTGATATTTAATCGGAACAGATACAGGCGTTATCAGTATTCTGAAACTTGGGTAGGATCCTGTATTTTTTCCAATCAAATGTCACTAGATAATTAATCGAAAGTTAAGATAGGGACATGTAAGCCGTTTTGACCAATGATGAATAGTCCCGACATGAAAAAAAATCCTCAAGTTGAAATACCTCGATTTTGAACACCCTACATATTTCTATAATCATTACTGCTAGACCACGAGTGTGATACATTGATGAAATCAAATCTTCAGGGAGAATCTCAAAATGCAATTAAATACAGGATGTTCCATTTGTAATATCAAAGTTGCTGATACCTTCTAGTACAAGCGGCAACGCCGCATCGTTTAAAATATTTCAGACAAGTTTTTTTCCTCAAATATCAATAAAAAATGAATGTTCATGACCAACCTAAAATTCACAGTTAGCATCGTGTTCTGCTCTCAGAATGATCCTTTGTTCTGTTTCATTTAACTTGTATTTTTTGTTATTTTTTTCGTTTTTTCAGTTTCCTTTTTTTATTATTTCAGTTCAGTCGGAGAAACGGAATTGACTGAACCAAAAGAAACAGAAGCCGGTGGTACACCTGTGTTAAAACAATAAAAAGAGTCATTATGTAGAATATGATCTACATACTTTTTTATATAAATTCAATATTGAAAATTGTTATTTTATACCATACCTTTCACCGAGGTTCATATTTCATTCATGTATTTTTCTGTTACATTTTTATTGTTAATTAAATCTTCTTTATTTTAAGAAAGTACGATGTATTGCTTGTTATAATTATTTTTTATTCAAATGTGATGTGCATGTTAGAAGTTGATTCCTAGATCAAAATGTTCAAAACTTACACAGCTTTTATTGCATGATGTTAGACTGGTGCCCAAAATTAGACTGAAACGAAAATAGTTTTTTATGAACACGTAGAAAATTTTGGAACTCTTGAGATAGAAAATAAAAAACAACAATCGAAGGTTTTTGGACTGTCATACACCATGCTAGCTGAGGTTTTTTTGTATTATTTTGCATAATAATTTAATTTAATGTCTATCAATCAACCTGGGATTCCCTAAAAACAATTTATGTTTTCATACTCTTGGGCAGTTATTGATAAACAGTGTTCAGGATTCAATCAACCAAGGTGTATCTCGTAGACCGATCCATAGAATAAAACCGGAAAAAAATATACATAACCCTCATCGAATAGGTTTGGGCATATATATACTTTTGAATATTTACAAAATTCCATTAATCCCAGTTGAAAAGTGTATTTTTTTGGTTTCGATTTTCATAAGAAAAACAGCACGTGAGTAAATTCATCTACACAGGCTGACATCAAAACAAGAAGGAATGCTTTTATAGATATAGGCTTGGCCAATAGGAATTGGGGAATTCCAATCCAATTTTCAGCATTCAAAATTTTGTAAATACGCCCGAACATTTCGATTTGAGAGGAAAATAATATTCATGAAATTCAAATGACTATTCTGAAATACCAATAACTATTCTGGAATACAATTGACGCTGAAATATACAAGTATTTTGGAAAACAATAATTGACCCTTTTTAAAATTCACCTGATTATTTCGGATTATAACTGCCACTGTATGAAACTCAAGTGACTATTCTGGAAATCAATTGACCTGGCTAAAATTAATTTGAGTACTCGCTGGAATACAAATGACTCCATCTGAAAAACACGTGACTATTTCAGAATACCATCGACACTTCCTGAAATTCCCTTGACTATTCTGGAATACAATGGCAACTGCAAGAAATTCAAGTGATTATTCTGGAATACAATTTTCGCTGTCTAAAAATCAAGTGACTCTTCTGAAATACAACTGACGCTTATTGAAGTGCAATTGAATATCCTGCAATACAATTGCCACTGTCAGAAATTCAAGTAACTAACAGAACTTCTCCTTCCTGAAATTCACTTCACTATTCTGGAATACAATTGCCACTGTCAGAAATTCAAGTGATTATTCTGGAATCCAATTATCGCTGTCTGAAAATCAAGTGACTCTTCTGAAAATGCAACTGACTTTTATTGAAATGCAATTGAATATCCTGCAATGCAATTGCCACTGTCAGAAATTCAAGTGATTATTCTGGAATACAATCATAGCTGTCTGAAAATCAAGTGATTCTTTTGAAATACAACTGACGTTTATTGAAATGCAATTGAATATCCTGCAAAACAATTGCCACTGTCAGAAATTCAAGTAACTAACAGAACTTCACCTTCCTGAAATTCGATCACTTCACTATTCTGGAATACAATTGCCACTGTCAGAAATTCAAGTGATTATTCTAGAATACAATTTTTGCTGTCTGAAAATCAAGTGACTCTTCTGAAAATGCAACTGACTTTTATTGAAATGCAATTGAATATCCTGCAATACAATTGCCACTGTCAGAAATTCAAGTGATTATTCTGGAATACAATTATCGCTGTCTGAAAATCAAGTGACTCTTCTGAAATACAACTGACGCTTATTGAAATGCAATTGAATATTCTGGAATACAATTGATGCTGTCGAAAACTCAAGTAACTATACTGAAATACAACAGAACTGCTCCTTTCTGGAAATCACTAGACCTTCTGGAATGCAATTGCCACTGTCATAAATTCAAATGACTATTCTGGAATGCAATTTCCACTGTCTGAACTTCAAGTGATTTTTCTAAATTACGACTGACGTTTTCTAAAATTCAATTGACTATTCTGGAATACAAATAATGCCGATTTCTGAAATACAAGAGTGACTATTCTGATTTCTCGAATGCAATTTTGAAATATAGAGCGTTTTCAGGAAGTTTCCTTTTCGTATTGAAGTCAGCAAGACACCACAGAGTGTTCTTCAGCCTGCATGTTAGTTGTACATACAGAGTGATCGGCATTTTTGTTGGAAAAAAGAAAGACAGATGACGTAGACATTATGTTACAGGAGTATGTTGAACTGTGTGAATGCCCTTGAACAGCATCTGCCAGTCGAACAGGCTGGTTTGGTGATAGCAGAAGAAAAATCTCAGCAACAGGATTCATGTAAGAAACAGTTAACTCCCCAATAGTTGCAAAAATTATTTATTTTTTATATGGAGTGTGAATGAGTATTTTTTCGTAATTCGGGATTGGCTAATACTGAACGTGCATCTTTTTCTAGAAATTGTTGATATTCTTGAAGCATCTTTTCTACGAAGTATTTTTTTGCATGTCCTATACAGGGTGTTTTCGAGTTGTAGTGACTAAAGCTTTCACCCAGCGAAATATGAAAAAAAAGTACATAATGAACATGACACCGGTAATATGATTCAGGGTGTTTTTTTTATTGAGTTTTGCCAGCTATCAGAGTCACTTTTTTAGAAAAATATAACACTCTGTATCACGGACACGGTGCATTATCTGATCCATGTTCATTTGAAACACCCTGTATATAGCTCATTCAAGACATGGAATAATTTGCGTGAAGCCTCATCCATCTCCGTGTACAGGCTGACTCACAAAAAACGCAAAAAAGCAAATTAAATGATTCATCAGTTAGTAGAAGTTGACACTAACAATTTATTATCTAAATCCCATTTCTAACTGGAGCGATTGTCAACTTTCAGTTTCAAATGGCTTTGTATATTCTAATTTTTGTCTGATGAAGATTTTTTTCTGACATTTGCGCAAAAATTAGTTGAAAAAATGTATGCTCCGTCGTCAAGAAATGGATCATCCTTACATTAACTAGTTTTAATTTTCTAAAAGATAGTCATTTGTTTTCAATAAATCATTTTCTGAACATAATAATGTACTATTTTTAAGAAACGGACTGAACCTTCAATGAATCAATATAAGATTTGAGGAAAAGATCCATTTTTTGTCAGCTAACTCTTTTAAATTTTCGTTTTGATTCTAGCATGATACGCATGTGTGAGAGAACGTATTTGATGCCTTGTAGTTGTCTCAATACAGGAATTCTGATTTTTAATCGAGTATTTTAATTAGTTCCGAATCCATTCGAGCGCAGAGCGTACAAAACAACATATAACCCTAGAAGACATTCAGCATACGCCACAATATCAGGTACAACAGATAATAGTCACCGAGTTATCAACACCGAAAATCAAATGCACAATATATATATAGACACGAAAAGTAATACACTTCAAATGGTACCACCCTCGTATATATCTGACACGAATTTCATAAAACTCAGTAATGTCAAGATATGATGGTGGTATTGTAGCACCTTGTATATTCTTATACGACACTCCACTGTACATAGACCTAGTACTCATTAATTATATAATAGGCTGTTTTTTCTCGGCCATCAGTCGCACTCAGTCCTTCCATTTCACTGTATACGCAAAAATCGTCATAAAGATGTCTAATTTCGTGAATAGGGAGGAAATTTCATCGACAAACACCTCTATTTTTAGACATTTTTGTGATTCAATAGCACTATACCCACTAATAGTTACCATGGTACATTGTTACATGTTGTTACGTTATGATTCTTGTCCCATTCATGCCTCAAAGACCGTTTTAGAGTCGTTATATGCCCATCAACATAACAAAATTTCAGTAACGTTAAATATGATTCCAATCTGATATGTTAGCGGAAACGACTTTGTTACATCAAAAGTACTTTCCATTACGGTAACCATAATGAAACGATGATAATTCATGTAACATCACCAGAAACTGCTTTTTTACAGCAAAAGTACTTCTCTTAGGAGTTACTACAATGAAACCATAATGTATTCAGTGATTTTTTCCTATGTGTTTCGAGATGTGATAAGTACATCTTATTATGCAAGGTATAAATACTATAATTTTTTTGAATGATCTACATGTCCTAAAAAATAACCTGTTTTTATCTCTGATGCAAAATATTACTGACAGAAAAACATCAATTTTGTGCATGCCCACCCAAGTCCATTTCCCAGAAATCCCTATTCATAATGGAAAAAAAAACAACAGGATGATTAGAGTTTATAAGGCTTGATGTAAATTGCATGAGGATTAGGTAAATTCTGGCTACAGGCAAAGATTTTTTTGACTACAACAACGAATTAATGCATCAACTACGACTACCATCACAAATATGATGATTGAGATTATAACAACGATGAATACCAATAATTCAACTACAATTAGGAACATGGGCGCCAACAGAGAGGGGCCAGGAGGGCCGTGCCCCCCCTCCTGAAAATTCTGCTCTCCTACATTTTTCAACATATGAATACTTCGTTCTTTGAATATCTCCTCAAACCGATCTCTGGTACGTAACTATATGGGTCGAAATGATCAACACTTTATTCTACCCTTGCGGAAGTCTGATTTTCAATTTCATAGCATTTGACCTTGATTGAAAAAATGTCGCTTGCAGCGCATTTTCCAATACTGTCTAAAAAAAATTGTTCTAAAATTGTTCTAAAATTGTTCTATCCGTCATTCGGTTGCCCCCTTACGAGCAACCCTCAGAAGTCTTCGAGAGTCTTGTGCGAGCAAAGAATGACGGGGGCCTTACCTTTTAACGTGTGATCCCAAACACTTTCTTGGGTCATCAGAAAAATTTCTGCAGTCGACGGGACTCGAATCCACGACCGGCAAGCGAATGCGGATTAGAATATGGACACTCTGTCCGCACGGCTACCTGGCCCCTGGTCTACAGTTCTAGAAAATTTGATTCTGGCCTCCCTTGAGAAAAATTCCTGCGGGCGCCCATGACTAGAAATATGACTATGATTGAGATTATGACGAATATGAAGACATTCGCAAACAATATGCATGTATATGTCGATCGAGAATAATTATCCTTCAACGATTTCTCCCGAATTTGACACAGCCGGCTCGGAACGCTCTTCTTCCCGCGCCGGCGACTCAGTCGTCTCGGCGCCTGACGTCGCGACGTCCCGCCAACAGGCGCCGCCTCCATTGCCGCCTCCGCGCTTCCCCAACAGCGCCGTTTGACAATGGGACGGCCTGGACCACGCAGCGCCGTTTCACCTGCCTTCGGCGCCGTTCAACCTGCCTATGGCGCCGTTCAATCTGCCTATGGCGCCGTTCAATCTACCGATAGCGCCGCTATACGCCATCGAAGATCGGCTGTTCGAGATAATTTCGAGGCGGGGCAGGAAGTGTGCTAAGTATTTGCGAAGCAGCTTCAAGAAACCGACAAGGCGCATGCGAAGCGGGAATTTTTAGATACCAAAGCCCTTGAGGACACTGGATGTGTCGCAGTGATTGGACTGCCTGGATAACGCAACGCCGTTTCATCTGCATTTGGCGCCGTTCAATTTGCCGATGGCGCCATTATACGGCCTGAGTAATGCGACGCCGTTTCATCTGCCTATAGTGCCGTTTCATCTGCCTATGGCGCCGTTTCATCTGCCTATGGCGCCGTTTCATCTCCACATAGCGCCGTTCAACATGTTTATGGCGAGGCAGGAAGTGTGCCAAGTTTTTGCGGAGCAGCTTCAAGGAACCGTCGAGGCGCATCGCAGTGAGAATTCTTAGATTCCGACGCCTTTAAGGACGCCGTTTCATCTACCAATAGCGCCGTTCAACTCAACTGGATGTGCCGCAGTGATTTTTTGGCCGGGATTTTTCCGTGGGATTGTTTTTCGAGCGCTCCCTGTATAGTACTTATAGGGTGTTGCGATATGTCCGACCGTACTGAACACTTGAAGACCTGAGTTGTTATAAAGGTCAAATTTTGCATCGCCCTGTTTATCAAAATACAGGATGTTTCTAAAGGTATGTACCAATCATTAACACAGATCTATGATTCAATACATTTTTCGAAAACTATCAATTTTTTGAAGGCAAAAAAGGAGCTAGACACTTATTAGAATTATTTGTTAATGTTTTATACAGACCTTTCAGATAACACCCTGTGAGTATCAAAAGGGCAATATTTGCTACCAAACTGATATATTGCAATTTTCCACCTGTCCCTAACCGATCGAACATTTTTCTAATAATAGTTGTATACCATTAAATTCAGCATCTTCATGACTCGAAGCAATTCAATTACTGTTTACAGTACAGTTATATTATGAATTATTATGAAACCAGTACATAATCGTGAGTGCACCTCTTTGTACTTAATATAGCATCTATATATTCATCTTCCGACGTTCGAAAATGACCTCAAATGTTAAATGCCCAGTTTACTATGGATTTAAATGATGTGAACGCCACCAGGATGAGATGCTAAAATGCCAGTTTCGAATATGTGACTATATTTCGGGGTTTATCGTTCCTGTTACATTTTTATGATAGTTTGTACATTTATGTAATCTCACCTATCTTGACTGATTTAGAATATTGTCTATTTGGTAAGTCATGCGGGAAAAAGTTTGAGTTTGATTCTCATATATTGAAGAAACTGGTTGTAATGTATACACTTTCAGCATTGATAGCTCTTATATAACTCTTATATAACTCCTGTTTAACTTATATAGCATTTATATAACTTTTATGTAATCAATGTTTCATTCTGGAAGCATATTCACCGACTACAAGGTTATTTACTTCTATACTGTGTGAGACGCGATCGTTTGAATCAAAAAAATGTGAAAAATACAGGGTAGGGTGTCCCATGTGGAAGTAGGTACCTACGTCAAGAGTTGGACAAGAATGTGATTCGGCTAGTTTCATGTGGAAATCGTTTCATCTTCCAAACAATTTTGTTCGTCCTAAAACTATGTTTCTTTTCGTATTTCGTTGGTGTGTCGATATACAAGGTGTATTCTAATTGATGGCTGAAAATATAGGATATATAATTAGGCCATAAACATCTCAATTTTCGAACTGTAAGGTGTTAAAATTTTATTTTCTGTTCATTGATTGAAGAAACGTTCACATTGTAAAAAACTGACAACGTAATCGAACGAATGCCATTATTTTAAATACAAAATATAGGGCACCAGCCTACTCTAGTTCAGAATAATTTCGTTAAGCCACAAATGGATGAAAATGATTTTTATTTTTTTACGCGAAAACGGTTCCTCTGACGGAAAAAAATCATCAGGAGGTTAAATTGTTGCAAAATAAATGAGGATTTCAAAAATGATTTTTATTCTCGGAAATTACAAGGGTGCACAATATGTTTTCGAAATAATCTCCAGGATACATCCCATACCGTGTTTGGCACAAAGGACTCCTCCACAAGCTACCATCATACGGCTTACCACCTCAGCTATGCCATCTCTTATCGAGTTTTCTTTCAGGCAGATCGCTTCACGTGGTGGTGGACGGTGTATCGTCTGATACCATTGGCATCAATTCCGGCGTTCCACAAGGATCAATTTTGGCACCAACATTATTCCTGCTTCATATCAATGATCTGTTGGGAGTAACAACTTGCCCCATCCACAGCTTTGCAGATGATAGTACCCTCCATACTGCGTTCTCTTCCAGAATTCCCATTTCTTCCCAGGAAACTAAGAACTCACGGCGCAGGCAGGTCAATGCTGTCAATGAAGATCTTGCTGAAATCACAGCCTGGGGAACGAACAACCTAGTTGAATTCAACGCCACCAAAACTCAAGCCTGCATTTTCTCTAGAAAGGCGGAACTCAGTATGCCCGATATTGTAATGTCTGGCTCCACGATCCCCACCAAGCCCACCATATCTATGCTCGGTATTTCCATCAGCAACACTCTTTCATGGGATAATCATGTCAGATCCATCGCAAAAGCTGCTTCACAAAAACTCGGATTCTTGTTCCGTGCGAAAAGCTACTTTACACCTCAACAGCTTCTCATGATCTACAAAGCGCAGATACGGCCTGTTCTAGAATACTGTTCCCACATATGGGGTTCAGCACCAAAACATACGCTGATGCTCTTAGATTCCATCCAGAGAAGAGCCATTCGCCTGGTGGGTGACGCCACACTCACTCACTCTTTGACATCATTGGAACACCGTAGAAAGGTCGGCGACCTTTCACTTTTCTATCGATATTTCCACGGGAAATGTTCTTCGGAAATCTCTGCAATCATCCCTTCACTAGCAATACCAATCAGACGAACTAGACAAGCCCAGTCAGCACATCCTTTCGTTGTCGACCTCGAAAGATGTCGAACAGCACTTTATCAAGACTCCTTCATCCATAGAACGGCTAGGCTCTGGAATTCATTGCCTGTGGAAGTATTCCCAACAACATATAATCTCCAAAAATTCAAAAAAAATTCCAATACCTACCTCCTGTCCCTATCCTCCCTAGGAACGCACGGTGTTCTTTGAACATTATAGGTATTCCCTTTCGTGCGCTCCAATCGTTAAAAAAAAGAAAAAAAATACGGACGTCAGTAGTAGAAATATTAAAAAATCTCCTGCACCAAAAAATGCCTTTTGATGCTTAGTATGTTCATATCACGATCATATGAACTCTTCTTCCTCAAATGAGCTAAGGAACCATATCCTTTATTTTCAGCCATCAATGAAATTACACCCTGTAGATTGGTTCAAGGTAATTTTATTTTCGACGTGTTTTTATTGTGGAAGCACTTGCTCGCAATGCACTGTCGATCACTTTGAATTTAGATATGTAATAATAATATCCGACTAGTTTTAGGACCAAAGTTCAAGCTTGTGATCCGTCTGAACTTTTTTGGTTGCTAATCTTGTCTGAAGCTGAAAATCATGTTTGCCCGTATGACACGGTTGATATTCTAAAAAAATCCACTGCCTCCCGATTACCATCATGCGGACAAACATGTTCTGAATAAGATTATTTTTTGAAGAAGTATTAGCACAAAATTGAGAAGGGTTACTTATTACATTATTCCAGACATATAATAACTTCACACTTGAAGCTTCACTTCAAGGTCTAGGAAAAAACAACTTCAATCATAGGAGCTGAGTGTTGCCTAGCGTGAAGAAAAATCCACTTTACTGCACCAGTACGGAAAAATCTTTTTTCTACTACTGCTATGAAAAGTAGCGCATTTCTCCTAAAATTTCGGTAGAATGTAATAATTGGTCGATTTCTCAATTTTTTCTATAATTTGTTTGAAATTTGGTGGTGTACGCGGAATCAGGTGCTCAATTTTATATAGTGTGGCCATGATTACTTATTATTCGTATAAGATAGTGTCAAAACGGCAAAAAGTTGTGTGATACACGCAAGATATGTTTTGTATTTATAGACTGATTAGATTTCCAGAGGTTATACCACAAGAACTGATGATTTTTCTAAATAATCGGTTATTGTATAGGTACCTGTTCCAGAAAGGCTTTTTCACATTGGTTCCTATAGTAGGTAGCCATGATAAAATATTTTTGTGAAGTAGTCTTATCGGAAATTGTTCATTTTTCTTTGTTTATACCTAAATCTTGTATGTATTACATAGTAATGTTAGAGAGACATACTAGAACATTCAAAACAGTTGCATATGTGACGTCATCAGTGGTGTACAAAGACGTTCCATTCTCTAAAGACATCTTAGTGGACACATTACTGTATTTATAGTGCTTAAACTGAACAAAATCAAACGAACTTTTGAAAAAAAATGTGACGAATATAATGTTGAATGTAATGAACATATTTTGCTTTCGAGATATTTCTATTGAAAATGAAAAGATTTGCAAAGTTATAGGTGACGATAAAATATAATTTTAAATAATTTCTCGAACCAGATGATTTCGATATAATGAAATATTCGATGTAAATATAAATTTTAAGAATTCACTGCCATTGAAGCTCATCAAATAAAAGTGAAATATTCGTTTTAATGAAAATATAAATATTGATTCATTCTCATCCATTGCGTAAAGCTATCACATGAAATTGATGTATTTAATGAAAATACACTGCCCATGGAAATTATAAGCATATTTAGATTAGATGTTAAAACTCCACCGATTCACGATAATAATAAATCAAACTCAAATAATGAACTGCTTCGGATATACGAGGCGTTTCGATAGTCCCCCACATACACAGTGTGTTTCAATTTGTCCAAACCAACGACCCCTGTATTTCCACATTTCATGGTACATCTTTCTTTTTCTACATATGCCAACTCGAAAAAAAAGGAACCTTAAACAGGATAATATTTGGCCCATAACTAAT